GGATTACAGGCGTGAGCCACCGCGCCCTGCCTCATCATGGGTTTTTAAAGATAGGAGAAAGCTTAAGATACTACTTATTACAGTTTCTTTTACTTATTATTCAATACATCCAAAGAGATTAAGATCTCATATTGAGGTACAAAACTAAGATTAGAAGTGTAATGAGCCACCTCCTATAGCAATGCCTTAAAAGACAGAGTGTTCCCTATGCATTTGAAAATACATTTTTTTTTTAATTAATAAAGAAAAAGAAAAGTATGGCAGAGTTAACATGAAAATACCCAAACCCTTACCTTGGTAAAATTTGAGTGACCTACACAATTTTCAGTCTTATAAGGATAATCATTGACATGTCTCTCTTTTTTCCCTCCAGTGAACTTGAAGATGACTTACTTGGAGAAGATTTGCTATCTGGCAAAAAGGTAAGAAATATAGGTCTTCCTGAAATGAAACAGTGGTCATGTAATTGTACTGAAAATACTGGAGTACGCCACTTATGCATGGGATGTGTTACTGGAAAGTTGTGTATAGGTTAAAATTTTGGAAATTGAATTATTTTTCAAGTACACAGAGAGTTGACTGTTTATTAAATTCTCTAGTAATTATAACTAAAGAAATAAATCCTTTGAAGCAAATATTTTGGTTCCTACTATGTCCAGAGTACTCTAGCAGGTACTGGTTTTGTGACAACAGTAATATAAAACTACTCCTTGCCCTATAGGAGCTTACACTTGGAGGTTAATATTTTGCATACTGGTTCTGGATTTCACTTTTTGGGGACATTCAGAGATAAGCTTAAAGATGAACATACTCAAATATAACAAACATTCAAATAAATAAGAATAAGTCTAAAGCCTAGTGTAGGTTTTTAAAAAACCTTTTTGATCAAGTAAAAACTTTGAAGCAATTATCTTTAAGTGTGTATCTATTTATTGTGTGAGTATATACACACATACCACTCTACCAGTACATTTCAAACATAATAAAACATGTAAAAAGTTGACGTGTAAAGCAAGAGATGAAAGTGAAATACTGAATTTTTTATTTTATTCTTTAATAGTTTAAAAACACTATTCTCATTTAATATCAAGATATTTCTTTTACGCTTAATTTTTTAAAAGATTTCAAGTTAAGATCTTCTACTAGAGGAAGTGCCAGTCCTGCCACTTTCTTGTAACTTACTATGTTGCATATTAGCACTATTCGTGTTAAACTTGCTGTACTTCCCTTTTTCTTTATTAATAATAAAAATACATTTTAAAGCACTTGAATTTGTTTTAGGATTCTCTTAAAGCCACTTTTTCTTCCTGTATTTTGTTTCACGGCATCATCAGCCTATAGGTAGGTGGCCTGGGCTCAGACGACTACAACTTCCGTTCCTTCAGATGGCTCTGTCGTCATCTATAACTCCAAGAATTGGTTTAGTTATCTGTGAATCCACTTGATTTAATGGAAGTAAAGTGAAAGCCTAGTGAGAAAGTCCTAAGGAACTCAACTTTTCTTTGTCATGCGGGAAAGGTGGTTCTGTTTTCTGACTATATCAGTGGATTAATTTGCACACCCCTCGGAATGCTCTCACTTACACTCTCGTACCTGAAGCAGATGCTTTTCCCTTTGTATTTCTTTAAGATGGTTTAACAAAGAATAACAATTAGATGTTTAAAAAGGTTTAAATGTAGTAAAATATTTTTCCATGAAGTTGGATTTCTATCTCTGTGTATCGTAGTTTGCTCTGTGTTTCTTTCCAGGGAGTTCCACCGGCCATGGTTCCCCTGTGGTGTGCACATGTTTTCCTCTCATAAAAGCTTTGGTCAGGATTCTTATCAGTGAAGATAGAATAGCACTGTTTGATAGCAATACTGACTGTTCTGGGGAAGTAATCTTACTTGTTTTTATATGATGAGCTCATTTTTGTAACTTGGTCACATTTGGCTGAAACTGGAGCACGCTTGGTGGTGGTGCATTCTGATGGTCTCAGTGGGAAGGGCCCCTCCCCTGCTTTGGACATTTTGGAAGTTTGTTTACTTTGGAACAGTTTTAATGTTTCTCTCTCATTTCTTCTTCTCTCTTCCTTCCTAATATAAATACATTGTATCTTGCAGGAATCAAAGCGTTCAAAGAATGTAAAAAAGAAAGCCTAAAAAAAAAAAAAGATACAAGTGGCCATGGCTAGCATTTTGCCATCTGTCCTTTCATTCTTTTTCCATGTATTTTTAAATATAATTGAATTACTGTACGTCAAGCATTACTTCTTTTTAATTTAACATTGTATCATTGCCATTTCCTTCTTGTCATTAGACATATAATGGCTACATAATATTTCAGTGTTTGTGCACACTGCGGTCTATCTAGTCATTTCTGTGTGCATCTACTTATTTCTAAAATTACACTGTTTATGTTGCTTTAAAAATCTTTAGATTTTGGATGCTAATTGTTAAATTTAGTCAGGTTTTAAGAATACCCTTTTTTGTGTATAATACGGAAATATTATTTGTTTGTAACGGTCCACTAATGGACCTCTTACCTTTTTTCTTTTGTGTTAGATTTAGAATAAATACGATCATTGCACTTTCCGCTTCTATACTTACTTGCCTGTGGCATCTAAATATTAGTCTGGGGGAGGCAGTGACGATGCCATGTATGGAATACCGTGATTGTCCGCTGGTAATGCCAAAGGGAGAGAACCTGGATGGCAAACGTTTTAATATTGTAAGATTAGAAACAGTCTCATCAATGTAATTTTGCACTTTTGTAACAAGTCTTTGTGGAAGTGACACATATTAATTAGATTTCTTATTTTAATTAGAATCAGTCGGATTTGTCAGATGAAGAGCTAAATGATGATCTTTTACAGAGTGATAATGAAGACGAAGAAAATTTCAGGTACTCAGCATTACTTCATTAAAATATTCTTTATTTAACTAAACTGACATGAACTGTTTGTAATTTGTGATTATAATGGGATATAATTGAATAACGTGGTTTTATATCTTTAACATATGATTACGTTCTAAATGGAACATTGGTATAGCTGGGAAAGCCATGTGGATTGTTCTGTAAACCGATCAGCTGTTTAAAATTAGTAGGTCTCGCATTTAACGACCTCCCTGCATGTTTTGTTCAGTTTAGGTTGTGAAAGCTCAGTACAGATATGTACTGCTCTTTAAAGAATTGCTTTATTTGGATGGAAGGCATTGGCCTCATACTCTTAATCCTTTTGGTTGCAGTTTGACGTTGCTGACTTTGTTTACATTTCAGACAATTTTTATTTGCACATACCTGTTTACTGAATTACCATTTTGAAAATTCCTTTGGATTATATTTTAGATTTGAGTTGACTGAATATAATGAATGTCTTTCTGTTGTTGACATAGTAAGCCGTATTGTAAGAGAGGAGAGAGATACTTAGTATATTCTGGTAGGTGGAATAATTTTTTCAGTTTTGTGAAGAAATACTGGGAAAGTAATAAACACACTTCTTGGTTATAAATGTAATTAACAGATTATGCCATTTGTTACTGAGCCATAGATTTGTAACAGATTTTCTAACATAAAGTAGTTTTTACGTGTAAAAATACAGTTTTAAATTATTCAAACGGTTAAATAAATTTCCCAGTTCCATTCTTTGACATCGTTATTTATATTTTGATCTTTTGAGTGAGTTACGTTGCCACTGAGAAATATACCGTTGGAGTATTTTAGCCATAGTGTCTTGAAGTATGTGATATATTCAATTTTTTGTTAGAATTGGACACTAATATGTGTGAGCATAGTTTTATCTGCACAATTTTGCATTTGAAGTGTTATCTTGCACCTTATTGTTTGGCATTTAGCTGTTATGATTCATTGGTAGGATGATTCTTTGCCGTTTTAAAACCCTTTTTTATTTTACTCAGAAATTATCAACCATTTTTAAAAGGTATCTGTGACTAGTATAAACTATTTGAACACTGAAATGTATTTTCATACAGATTTTTAACATTTTGATTTTTTTAAAACGAGTTTATAATTTGTATCATAGATTAATTGTTCTTAAAATTCCAACTGATTTTCTGCTTATAGAATAATTTCCTGATTTTACTTTAAAATCTTAGCAAGCATATTCCATCCATTTTGTTCTATAAATTGGATGAAATATAGTCTGTTTGATCTCGATCATGGGCTTTTGTCAGTCAGACTGCTTCCTCATCTGGTCGATTTGATGCTTTTGGTCAAGTAACCTGCAACTGATGATAAGTGGGAGCCCTACATGTGTGCTGAATCTGGGGCGCTGACTCAATATAGCACACTGGGCTTTGCTTTTCTCGTTGTTGGGGTAACTGTGCATTTATCATGGTTTAAATCTTTGTAACAACTAATTTGTATAATGATTTAGTTTTGACCTCCACTCTCATCAGCTGCCTTTCTTTGTATTTTTTATCCTCTCTAGTTCTCAGGGTGTGACAGTTAGTCTCAATACCACATCTGGCATGGTTACATCATTTGAACTGTCTGACAACACTAATGACCAATCTGGAGAACAGGAATCTGAGTATGAACAAGGAGAGGATGAACTAGTGTATCACAAATCTGATGGATCCGAATTGTATACTCAAGAGTACCCAGAAGAAGGACAGTATGAAGGCCACGATGCTGAGTTGACAGAAGACCAGATAGAATATGTGGAAGAGCCAGAGGAGGAGCAACTTTACAGTGATGAAGTGTTAGACATTGAAATCAATGAACCTTTAGATGAATTTACAGTGAGTCTTTTCTCCTTTGTATGGCCAAAGATAACCTGGCTTCCCATGCATAGGTTTCTAGACTGATTTGAAATCTGTTTCCCTCCCTTGGGAGGGAGGGAAATTAGACCTTATTGTCACTGTCTGCCAGTTTCTTTATCTGAGCTATGACAAAGTTTGTGTTGACAGCTTGTTTGGCTAAAGGTAATGCTCCTTTGTCATTCTGGAAGGCTGCAAAGAAACGTGACCTTGAGGATTGCACCCTAAGGAAGAAAACAGCTTTGTGTGGTGGAGATACCCTGTCAATTGTTAGAAGTACTTAATGCAGAGCTTTTATCCAGGCTTTAGACAAGATCTGATAAAGTCCTTCTAAGGTGAAAAGATTATTGACCTGCTAAAGACATCTTTAAGGTGCTATATTGCAAAGTGATTGATGTCCTGTTCATTCATCCTTTTTGTAACTGAGAGCTGTCTAAACCTGAATAAAGAGATTGGAGGTTAGTTAGGAAATGTCACATATAATTTGTTATCTGTAATCGGGAAGCAAAGATTGTGCTGATTTTTATTTTAGAAAGATGGTTTTGGTAGGTAGTTTTTTTTTTTAAGTTGAACCGTCAAGAAAGAAAAAGGTACTAGTGTTAAGATCGCTCATCTCTGTTAATGATTCATCATCAAGAGATGTGTTTTTTAAAATAAAGACTTAATGCAGTTTATGAGGACAGGCCCCTGTCTCAGAAGTTGCTGTAGAATCTTAGGTTTTTTGGAAGCACCGGGTCCCCTTGAGGCACAGGGTAAAGGGCTGCGGGGATGGGCTGGCAGTGGGCAGAGCCCGCCTCCTTGAGCCTGTTGGCCGTGGGAGCAGCTCTGCTTCTGTCGCTGCTGTCTTCATTCAGAGTATGCTGTCAGTCCACAAAAAGTTCAAAAATTGCTGAAGCTTGGTCCCTGATATATGTATGAGAAATTTTGAAAGGGATTGTTTATGTGGAGCCTTACAATATTTAGTTCCAGTCATGATCGTATTAATACTTAGGTGTCTCAGTAATTTTAAGATTTGATTTTTTTTTTGAATGCTCTTCAGTAGCTATGGTATTGAAAAAATGTTGTAGTTTTGGAAAATAGAATCATGTACAAGGTACCATGGGGGATTTTTATTTCAATAAGCCTGTAATGATTTGTTTTGGTAATAAATCCTTCTCTAGTGTAGACAGGCCTTTCATGTTTACTGGCATGTTTGTATACTTTCTTAAAGTGGGACATGGTAGTTTAAAATGCTTTTTGAAAATTAAATCACAATCTTTTAGAAATGTGCCGTTATTCCCTAGTTATAGTATTTTATTATTTCTGCTACTTACCAATAAAATGATTGGGTAATCATCTCTGGGCTCCTTACCCCCTGTAAATTCAATAGTTTAACAAATCTTTACTGATGTCCAAGCACTGGGGATGCAAATAATTGTTAAACTATTAAATGAAACATGGGATTTGCCTGTGAACTTAGAATTTAGTGGGAGAAATCACAGTGTGGGGAGTGTTTGCTAGAACGTGTGTGCATGGCCACATAGGTGGTTTCTCTCGCTTTGGCGTTCTTGGCAGAGTTCGTTGTGAAGAGAAATTTAAGTGAGGAATTTACCTCTCATGTTCCTTTCTCAAAGTTGAGGTTACATCTGGACTCCAGTGGTAATAAAATCCAACTTAATTATCCAACTTCTTGTGGTCTAAGATTCAGATATTGAAAAGAATAAAATGTGGCAATTTAAAAATACTCATAGTACTTTTCCACATTAAAATGAATTAATTGTTTTTCAGAATTTAAGGGAACCTTAAAGCAAAAAAGCTTTACATAGGAATTCTGAGAGTGGTACTATGTTTTTACAGAGAGTGGTAAACTTCAGAGGTAGGAGCAGTAGTTAAATGTCTTTCTCTAAGCCGCAGCTTACCTTAACGCTCTAGTGTTGTAGCTGGGGGCATTGTTTTTCCCGTCATTGGAATGGTCTGCAGTGGCTGCTGCCTTGCATAGGAGGAGAGACGCAGGGTTAAACCGTGAGGTGCTCCTTGCCTGCTGTCCTCTTGGGCTGTCACTAATGCACAGGTCATGTATTCGTCATGTGACTAATGAACACATGAGTAGATTGTACCCTTGTGTACCCCAGTGGTATTTTAGTTTATTAATGATTTATATAACTGTTGTTTTTTATTTTTTATTTTTTTGTCCTAGTTAGGATTTGTTAACCTGTGCGCTAAAGCCAGATTTGAACTCTGAAATGTGGATCACGAGCACGTTCTTTCTACTGGAGCCCCACCTGTAAAATCCCATGGAGGGGCTTTTGCGCATTAGTGGGTTATGCACAAAACCACAGAGTTTACAATTGGAAAGGACACTGTTACCTGTGAAGAAAGGAAGGGCCAAAGACATTGAAAGAGCTGGTAGCACAGCTCTGGTGTGCTTTCCTGTTTCACCCCAAAGTAAGATCCTTAAGTTCGTGAACTTCGTTGGTGCTATTCTTGAGAATGAATTGTGATTTCATTTTAAAACTTTTACTTCTGTATGATTATAGTAAGGAATGTATATTGCAATGGAATATTAGCCTTTAGTCAACAAACTATTAGAAAATTGTCAGGTGACTTATATTTTAAGTGTACAATCCGTTTATTTAGGGCCTCTAAAATAAACATAGAGATTTCATAAAAACTGTCCTGTAGAAACAATTTCAGATTGACAATTTATGTAAAGGATAGCAGATTTTTGTTTTCCAGTGAGAATCCAGTGGCATAGACTGTACTTCATTGTATATTGGCTGAAAATTTTGATTAGCATTTTCTGGCCTTATTTGAAATTTGCGCATTCTGCTACCAGTGAATCATGGTAGTGGTAGTTGTTCTTTTTGTTAGGATGCTAACCATTTCTTCTGGAAAATAAAATGGAGTGTGTTTGGATCATCTTGAGAGAGAGGCAGTTGTGGGAACTAAAGTGGTTTGTCACCTAAATACAGCTGCTTTCTTTGGAGTTGTAGCTGAGACATTGTCATGTGCCATACAGTAGGCGGTTAATGCCCATAGGTGGTTCACTCTTGGAAGATTGTCTGCCTTACTGTTCGTTTTTAGCGAGTGGTCAAGGGACACAGGGAAGCCCACCTCCGCTGAGTGGGATCACACCTTCTCATTGCTTGCTAGCAATGCCAGTAGAAACCCTTCTTTCTTATGCAGTTGTGGTCTGCAGTCAACTTGCCTACATCCTCCCTTCTTTCCCAGCAGGGATGCCTGCCTGCTGATAACACCCCTTATGTTTCCTAGAAAACGGATAATTTTCCTGCCATTTGAGGGAGGGGCCCAGTGGAGAAACTCACACTACCATGATTTTAAAAAGGCTCCTGTGTTGGATTGCCTGTACTTTGGTTATCTTATATTGCCATAGCAGTGGTGAGAGCTGGGTGTGATTTCAGCTCCCTTACTGCTGCTGAGCTCCGCTGTGAGAGCACACGCACACTTTCTTCTGAAGGTTGTTTTCCTTGGTGCTGATTTGGAGAAGAGCTATGGAACGGGGCACTTGGCGTTGCAGCAGAGCCCGCGGCACTAACCTTCGCGGCTGGCTTGGCATGACGTGCTTTGTTTGCATTAACACGCAGAGGAGGTTGCATGCTATTTTTGTGCTTAGTGCCTTGTGCTCAGTCAGGTAATTACCATAGTAAAGTTTTCTAGAAGCATGAATTATAAAGATGGAAAGTGCTTAAAAAACACCCTAAAGCTGTGTGAGAAAAACTTGTTTTCTCTTTAATGGCTGTTAGGATGAAGAATACTTGCAGGCTCGCGCTGGGCAGCAGGGGCTGCGTGGGCAGGAGGACTGTGTTGCTGGAGAGGCGTTAGATGAGATTACTGAGTCCCAGGTTGCTCCTGACACTGAAGAGGTATTTGTTCATCTTTTAAGAGTCAAAAAGTTTGCTGGTTTTCTTCCCCCAAACATAAAATGAGCATCTTTTTAGCATTAGTGATAAGTTGATAACGTCTCTTCTTTGGACTATAAGTATAGTAAAAAACCTGAGCTTTCTAAACTCTTTGAGAAGTGAGTTCTGGTGTGCTGTGATTTCTAGATTCTGTGTGCCCTTTCAGTGCGTTTCATTGTTTTAAATCTTTTATGGAGGTGTGGGTAGAAATCTTTCACAAGTGTGATGTATACTAGTGCTTTGAAAATAGTACTGTAATTATTTTTAATTAGTAACTTCAGTTAATTTGGACTATTATTCAAAAAATACTGCAGCGTTCCCTGTATTTAGGTGTTATTTTAGATAAGAAACAAGGATGATGAAGCTTGATTCCTGCCCTCAAGAGATTTGGAGTCTAATATAGGGGAGAAAAAAAGACATGTACAAATTCCTATGCCTAAAAACAGAGAAAGTAAAACCTCCAAAGAGAGGCTCAGACAGGGCTAGGAGCTCACCGAGGAAAGCTGGTGGGGAAAAGGGGTTGGGTCGGTGAGGTGTGCGGAAGAGGTGAACCTCTGATCGGGTCTTGGAGATGGATGTCATTTGGACTAAACGAGGTGGGGTGAGATGCAGGGTTAAATTGGTGCTGTTCTTTAGCCCTAGAACCAGGTCCTATGGGCCAAGCATGTAAGCCACAAAATCAGTCTTCAGCCTGAAGACTTGTTGATTTTCTTAAGAATTTTCCTGATTGGTGTTTTTTCCAGTAATTTTCCTTAATACCTTCTCCCCTTTTTTTTCAAGATATCATGAAAACTGATATTTACTGGCATAGGCCATTTACTTTAGGTGTTACTCCAAGGCTTTAGAAACTCAGTCCATAAAAACATTTTATTTACCCTTTCCTAATATAAATAATACTATGGCAGTATATGAACCTGTATGCTGTGCACTTTATGAAACAAACATTTCCTGGATACATCCTTTCTCCCCCTCCAAGTTTTCTGTCTCTTTCTCTCTTGCTATTTGAAATACTTTGAAACTTATAGAAAAGATAGAAGAATAGTACAAAGAACTCTACCCAGATTCCCTAGTGGTAGAAGAATGCATTTAGTCCAAGGAACCAAGACAAAGCTGCAGGAGACCAGAGGCTAGGTGTGTGCTCCCCACCGTGCTCTGTGGCACCCTCTCTGTTATGAGACTAGCACCAGCCTAGGTCAAACCTGTAAAAGGGCGGTTGAGGCAGAAGACCTCTGAGAAAAATCTAAGAAGCCAGTAAAGGAGGAAAGGACGCAGATGAAGGCTGCGTGATCATCGAAGGTGGCGAATAGTGGAGAGGGAAACCAGGGAATTCAGCGCCCCTTAATTTCATGTCGTTTTTATTAGTTTGTGGTATTTTGAAGTTGGAAGATTAATTTCATATATTTTTCCCTATAATTTCTTTCAGTTTTTTAGATCACAATATTCTCATTACTCTTCTCTGATATTGTATTGTATTTGCAGCACATTTTACAACAGGAAAGGGTTTTGTAGATTTCAATGTTCAGATGATCTCTGGAGATATAAACTGTTTTATTCTAAAGCAGTCAAAGAATAAGAATGTTAGCAAGTGTTACATTGCCTGGGTGCCTTATAGAAGTGACAGGGTATGGATTGTAGGTCTCGAACTTCAGTTGCTGAACCTAGATTCATTAAAATATTAAAACAAAAGTGGGCTGCTAGAAAAAAGTGGTGATCTTGTCTTCCATTTTCAGTGTCTTCTGGTGGGGCAAATGGAGAGGGAGGAGGGGCAGGCAGAGAAGGGAGCCCAGGAGAGACATGTAGAGCCAGAGAGACAGAGAGAGGAAGGGAGTGGGAGACGGGAGGAGTCTTCGGAGGGACAGTAGTGATCAGACACAGCCTTAAAAAAATCAGCTTATAATGTGTGAGTTAATATGACAAAATACCTCAGACAGACTGAGAGAGGATTAACTTGGGGAAAGTTAGAATTTTTTCTTATACTAATGTGGATCTCGGATTGATCAAAGATTTCAGTGTACAAAAAACCCACAAACATATGCATGTGCACATGTATACACATGCACCCCAACTATAAATGTATTGGAAGAAAAGTTTTTTTTTTTTTTTTTTGAGGCAGAGTCTCACTCTATTGCCCGGGCTGGAGTGCCGTGGCGTCAGCCTAGCTCACAGCAACCTCAAACTCCTGGGCTCAAGCGATCCTCCTGCCTCAGCCTCCCGAGTAGCTGGGACTACAGGCATGCGCCACCATGCCTGGCTAATTTTTTCTATATATTTTTAGTTGTCCAGATAATTTCTTTCTATTTTTAGTAGAGATGGGGTCTCGCTCTTGCTCAGGCTGGTCTTGAACTCCTGAGCTCAAATGATCCACCCGCCTCGGCCTCCCAGAGTGCTAGGATTACAGGCATGAGCCACCGCGCCCAGCCCGTAAGAAAAGGTTTTAATCAAGATATGTTAGCATTAGGCCTATCTGCAAAACAGAACTCATCAAATATTAGAAGTTTATTTCTCACTAATGTCAAAAAATTCCAGAGGGCATTTTGGATCTGGTATTGGTCTCACCAGGTCATCAGGTACCAGCCTCTTCCGTACTTGCATTGTACGGTTCTAGGGCTGCTGCTCTTGTCATGGTCTACGTTCCAAGCAGTGGATTACAGGGAGACTAAAAGGGATCATGCCTCTCCTTTAAAGACATATTTCAGGGTTCTCATACAACACTTGTAAATATATTGTTAATTAAACCTTCGTCACATGGCTATACCTACTAGCAAGGGAAGCTGGTGCATAGGGTGTTTTAGTTGACATGTTCAGCTAAGATTGGGGTTATAGTTAGCATATAAAGTTAATCAGGATATAAGAGTTAAAATTGAGTGTGTAATATGTTCAGTATATAGATGAATACTCTATAGAAAAAGGAATGAATAATGTTATTCAAAAATAGAATAAGCAGGCCGGGCACAGTGGCTCAGACCTGTAATCCCAGCATTTTGGGAGGCTGAGGTGAGAGGCTTGCTTGAGGCCAGGAGTTGGCCTGGGCAGCACAGTGAGGGATGGGGCATGGTGGAATACACCAATCGCACTGTGGTTCAGCTGCTCTGGAGACTGAAGCGGGAGGATCTGCTTGAGCCCAGGAGTTCGAAGCCACAGTGAGATATGATCACACCACTGCCTGGGTGGCAGAGTGAGACCCTGTCTTTTAAGGGGGAAAAAAGTGCAAATGAGCAATAAGCGGATGAAAATATATTCAGTAAAATAAAAATTAAAACAAAAGTGAGAATTTTACATTATTTTAATACTGGCAAACATCAAAATTATTGGTCAGATGCAGTCTCATTTAGTTGATGAAGCATTTTGGAAACATTGCCAGGAGACAGTATTTCAAGGGTTCTTCATTTTGCTACATGTTTTGAGAACATACCAAGCAAAATGGCTGCCTGCCCTTTGTTCCAGAGTATCTTTTTGAGGATTTTTGTGTAGCAAATGGCCTTGAAGATACAATGTCCTTTGGAGCCAAGGGCAGCAGGCTTCCTTACTGCAGATTATCAGAGATTTGGGGTTTCCTGTGTTCAGGGATCCCTGCTGTAACACAGCCCCTGTGTGTGCAGGGTCACTTGGCCCTTTTCACATGGCACAGTGGGAATGGGGCCTCAGGGAGCTGGTGCAGAAATGCTGTTGCTGGTGTTATAAGTAATAAATTGTCCTAGTCTCTGACTAGTAGTCTTGATCTTCTTACAGCCTCCATAAAACGGTGGCAGACTAGCTTGTTAGCTTGCAAGAAGGGTGCAGTCTCAGACTCTTCACTGTTCTTGACAGTATCGAAAGCCTTAAAGCACTTGCCCTTTGACTCAACAATTCCACTTTAACAAATTTATCCAAAAGAATTAATCTAAGATGTGTTCAAAGATGTACGTACCAGTTATTTATTTGTAGCATTAAAAATAAATGGAACTGGCCGGGCACAGTGGCTCACACCTGTAATCCTAGCACTCTGGGAGGCTGAGGCAGGAGGATCGCTTGAGCTCAGGAGTTTGAGGTTGCTGTGGGCTGTGATGACTCCACTGCACTCCAGCTGGGGCAACAGAGTGAGACCATGTCTCCCAAAAAAAAAGAAATCAACATCAATTTTTATGGACGGCTAAATGAATCATGATCTAATCTTACAGTATAATACAGTATATCAAATGCTGCCTTAGCACTCTGTTTGACGTGGAAAGATGCTGATGATATAGTAAGTGAAAGATGCAAGATAATACATCGATAATTTGTAATTATAATTAATAATTCTTCCCCTTAAGCTCATCTGTAACTGCTTATCTAAATGTGTTTGCATAATTCTAAAAAATAATAGTCTGGATAGATAAAGATGAAAATGGTGACTTAGATAGTGGCATTATTTAACGTTTGCATTCCAGTACCTTATGATCTTTAAAAATTTTTACTATAATCAAAATGACTTTTATAAGTAAGGCAATATTCTCTCTTTCCTTTTAAAATAGGAAGAAACAGGGAAACATAAGGTGGTTAAAATTGTGACCCTTTCATTTAGAAGGCGAAGAACTAGAGGTTGCATTTGTTTCATTCCTGTTGTTTCTTGTTGCTGTTAAGTCTCTTACATGGAATTCACTAAGGGTTGTTTTCAGTATCAATCTTTAAAGCAGAAAGTAATATCCTACCCACATTACGTATTTTATCTTTTTTATACCATCTGCTAGGAGGTATAATACACCTAACCTTACAGTAGAACATAGTATGTCATATGCTGCTTTAGCTCTCTGACATGAAAAGATGCTGATGATACAGTAAATGAAAACAAGATATTATAATTAAAATTTATAATTAGTAATTCATCCCCTTAAGCTCTCTCTGTTTTTTTTAAAAAATTGTATGTCCCATAATTTAATTTTAGATTTAGAGTTTAAAAATATTTTATAAAGTTATTCATACATTGACTTTTTTATCCTTCTTTCCTT